TGTGTTATTATTTTATATTTTAACATGTTTATCAAATTAATATCATTTTTAAAAAAATAATAGAATTCGTTTATAATCATATAATTAAATTAAATATATTTAATAGTATATATTAATATCATTTTCTAGAATGTTTTTCAAACGTTAAGTTTAAATTGAAAAATAATTTGACATATAAATAAATTGTAATTTATATAATAAGGAAAATATAATATATTTTTTCTCTGAAAAAATGTTCTTACAAATATAGACGTACTAATTAATATAATCAACTAAATTACACTATTTTTATTTTTCTTACTTTAAAATTTAATTTTTTGAGACAAATTAAAGAAAAATAATAATTTCTAATTTATCTAACCAAAACCTCATTAAATATTCACCTAATTATAATTCAACAGATAAAAACGCTAAAAAATAAAAATAAAAAGTTATATAAAAATAAAAAATGAAAAAATTTGCATTAGAAATTGAAAATATCATCTAATTTAAAATTGCAATAATTCTCTAAAACGTTATATATTAAAAAAGTGAATATATTTTACAAACAAAAAAACTAACTTTTTTTTTATGTTTTGTATAGAATTATCAAATTACAAATTATTTATCTAAGATATCAGTTCGATTGTTTCACCATGCAAAACCTAAATACGTAACCGAGATAGTTTACAATTTTCTCAATTCAATTTGAAAAAACACCCACGCGGTTGCACATATCAATTTTTAGTATGAATTAAATGTTTTATAGCATCTCATTACAGCTTTAAACTTTAAAGCTTAGATCAAGGTTTAGTTTGATAATGTACTTTTTCTTTTAACTTAATCAAATCTTAATTTGTATGGAAATAAAATTAAATATTTGAAAACATTTCTTTAGGTTAGAAAGCAATAGATTCAAATCCAAATTTAATCATTCATGTGCATGATAATTATGTAGTTAGTAAAATCAAATTCATAAACAGAAAACAAAAGCAGAAACTAAAGAAAAATAGGTAAAATCATAGTCACTTGGTGTTAGAATTCATCATAGTCTTGAATTCTTCATAGCTAACAAAACAATCTTTGTCTGCATCAACGACACTAACCATGGAAACACATTCCTCCATTGACTTATTTTCTCCAAGACGCTTCAACATGACATGAAGCTCATCTGCTGAAATCTTTCCATCACCATTAATATCATATAGATCAAAAGCTTTTTTTAGAAGAGCTTCCTTCTCTTCATCGGTGTCAACCAAATTCTCATAAAGCCTGATGACTTAGTAGAAAACTAATAATTAAGTCGTCTGGAAAGTCATCTAGCTGGAAGACTTTCCAGATGACTTAATTATTAGTCATCTAAGAAGACTAACACAAATTCTTAATACATACTCATAAAGCATGAGCGACTTAGTAGAAGACTAATAATTAAGTCATATGGAAAGTCATCCAGCTGGAAGACTTTCCAGATGACTTAATTATTAGTCATTGACGCAGATGACATACAAGTACGTCGTCCAGACGACTTAACCGTAAGTCGTCAAGACGACTTAACCGTAAGTCGTCCAGTCTTCCAGACAAGTCATTTTTGCAATTGAAATTTAAATGAGACGACTTACTTCTAAGTCGTCCAGCTTTGTATGTTAAAAAAAAAATCTAGACGACTTATAAGTAAGTCGTCTAGGAAAAATAGGCTAGTTTTGCATTTAACCGAATTGTGTCAGATATTTGACTTTTCCTGAACGACTTACCAGTAAGTCGTCTCCGGGAAAGTTAAAATTTCAATATTTTATTTAATCTGTACGACTTATGGATAAGTCGTCTTAGGTTAGTTTTGTAATTGAAAAATAAAACTTTAATTTTAACTTTTCTCAGAAGACTTAATTTAAAGTCATCCAGTATGACGACTTATTTGAAAATTGTCCGAGATAAGCAAAGTTTGACTGAAAAAAATCTGGATGACTTTAGAATAAGTCATCTGACTGGACGACTTTAGAATAAGTCGTCTGACTGGACAACTTTAAATTAAGTTTTCTGGAAAAAAAATTAAAGTTTTATTTTTCAATTACAAAACTAACCTAAGACGACTTATCCGTAAGTCATCTAGATTTAATAAAATATTGAATTTTAACTTTCCCAAAGACGACTTACTGGTAAATCTTCCAGGAAAAGTCAAATATCTGACACAGTTCGGTCAAATGCAAAACTAGCCTGTTTTTCCTAGACGACTTACTTATAAGTCGTCTAGATTTTTTTTTTAACATACAAAGCTGGACGACTTACATCCACAAGACTTACGAGTAAGTCTTCTACGCGAACAGATCTGGAAAAAAAATTCAATTTCATACCTTAAACTAGGTGAGATGACTTCCTTAGCACACACAGTCTTCTCCAACCACCCAAATTATCAAATGAAAGTAACCCACCAAGAATTGTATGCTTAAGTGGCTCTATCAACCATAAAAAATTTGAATCAAAAGCTTGGATTTTTGGTATGAATATGGAGACAAAGTGAAAGAGATGTTGTTTTTAATTCATAACAATTGAGAAAGAGAGAGTGTAAATCGATTTTAGGTACATTAAGAGCTTCAAATTGGTTGTTCATGGTAGTTAGGGTATTGATGGCAATGTCAATCTTGTAAATACTTGAAGATGAGGTTGAGAGAGCAAATTTTTTTCGAAAAAAGAAGAAAAAAAAGTAATTGCATTTTCGTATATAATGTGAACAGATGGGGTGAATAAGACAAACAAAAATTCAAAAAAAAACAAAAGATTAGTTTTTTGTTTGACTTTGAATTTTGAGTCAAATTTGTAAAAATCCCTAAATTATACCAAATTTGATATTTTAATGTTATACTTCTTTTTTCTTTTCCAACCATAATACCAAATATCACACCAAAATAATATTATACTATATATGATGTTTTATTATTAATAAATTTATATATATATATATATAATTGATAAATAATTTTTATCTTTAAATTTCTATAATTTTATGTTTATAAAATTTATTTAATTTTATATTTTCAGTTTAACAATATTATATCTTTTCTGTATTTATTTTATATAAAAATTATATTTAAATTAGAAACTATCAATTATGAAAATCACGTAACAAAATAATATATTTATTTTAATAAAATTTGAATTATTAAGTAGTACAAGTTTAACTATATTATAAAATAAAAATAGAAATGTTATTCTAATGTTTGGTGAATTTAATAGTATTACATAAATTTTTAAGTATCTACTATTAAATCTAACTTTACCATAACGTATTATTATTTATTGTTCATAATTGGTTAAATATAACTTAAATAAATATTATAACTGATATTTAATATAAAAGTATGATAAAATATAAAGGAAATGATAATAACCATTTAATTATTTCTTACTTGAAATAAAATAAAATATAACAGTTCTATTATAATTTATGTTCACAATATGAAGAAAATGATAACAATCAATTAGTGATTTTTATTTTGTAAAAATACAAAATATTCTAATTTTATAAAAATAATTGATAAATACAAACAATAAAATTTATGTTTAGTTACAAATTAGAATTAGTTAATAATAATAATTGAACTATGTTATTAAGTCAAATCTAATAAAATATCTACTATATATTAAATATATGGTGTGATGAATAGTATTACATCAAATTTAGTGTACTAATATTCACTCCACACTTAATCTAGTGGGATGATATCATTTTTAATATTTCACAAGATTTGGACCCGCACAACTGTGCGGGTATTTTATACGAAAATATTTGAAATTATATAAAAAATATTTATGTGACTTATAATATTATTAATATAAAATTTATAAATTTTTATTTTTTAACAATTTTTAAAAATATTTTTATGTAACATTACTAATTTATATATATATTTGATTTCTAAATTTGAAATATATGTAAAAAGTAAATTAATTTGGACATACATAATACATAAAAAAAACTTTGGGATATTGTAAAAAGTATTTTACATAATTTTTTTATAAAAAAAAATTAATTAAAATGAATTAAAATTTTAGTCAAATAATTTTTGAAACTATATCTTGAAAAGATTCTAAAATATTTTTAAAATATTTTGTTAGAATTTTCTTAAAACTATCTATTTGTATTTCAAATAAAAATTAAAGATATAAAAATATATTATAATGATGTTATATAAAATTTTATAAAAATTTTAGGATGGTCCAAACTAAAAAATCACACATGAAGTGAGTCATAACTTCTCTTTTAATATAATAGATTGGAGATGAAATTGCATTAAATCTTATGTTTGATGTTATATTCAACTTGGCCTTATGATATAATATGATGATTCATTTTGGTCAATTATATCATGAATTGGTTCTTGGTTTCAATCTAATTTCTATAGAGCTCCATGCGACATCATTCTTATTTTTTATTCAAAGATAAAAGATATCCTTCTTATTTTTCTAGTTAATTTTGATGATAATTTTATCATAACAACAATTTTAGTCTTTTGGTGTTAAATTTTATTATCATTTCCAATCACAACATCAATTTCTACACTAAAACACTACTATATATGATTAATTTTGTTTTAATAATTTACGTATTTGAATTATACTAATTTCATTTTATCAAAATAAATTTTAAGTTTAATTTGTAAGTTTTTCATTATGTATTTAATTCTTATTTTAGTTGATTTATACGTATTTTTCATTTATAAAAATATAACTTTTATTGAAATTTGAAACATTTAAAACGAAATCACAGAGTAAATATTTATATTTTTACAGCTAGATATTATTGAAAATATTTATTTAAATAAGTATTAACCAAAACAATATATTTAATTTTTGGTAATGTAAAAATAAAACTGAAAGAGAAAAAATAGTATGATATATTTTGTTTAACGATAAGTTTAAAGAATGATTTTCTATTTTGATAAGAAAGAGAGGAAAAACATGGCAGGAGGAGCTGATTCTGCTCGATATCAAAGGCTGTGTTATCGTCTGGCGTGACTACCACGGCAATGTCTTCGCCGCTCAAGCGGAGCGCTTCTTCTCCAAGCTCATCGAGAAAGAGGGTTTTGTTTTTATATTTACCATGTGATCTTCTGAGAAACATGTCTCTGTAACCTGAAAATATTGAATCTGTATCTGAGTGAGTTCCCAAGTGAAACTGATACCTTTCAAAGCACCCTTGGTCAGAATTTGAAACTGTTGGAAGTAATGAACAAGTCTGATCATTTTTATAGGACATTGGGTTATATTAGATTGGATTTGAAGCGGAGTATTTATTTTCCAGTATGTTGTTTGATTGGTCAGGGTGATAGAGTACAAGAAGAACGAAGGACAAAGAAGGAAGAAAGCAGAAATGTAAAACAAAAAAGGATTCACAACTGAACATAGTGAAGTTTACCTTATGATAGCATCCATACAGAACTGTAAAGCTGCCAGTAATCTCTCTTTCCTTCATTGTTTAGTTGATGTAAGTAAATTCTGTAGCTTTTAAGAAGTACACATGATTGTATTGATGTTACATAAGATGGAAGTGGTGATCTTTGTAGGTCTTTTCAGACATTATTTTGAGGAGGTGGAGGAAGAATTCCCCATGTTTACTTTGTCATAGTGGTATTTTACTTCTGCCACATCTATACTATGAAGTTTGAAGAAAGTTTTTCTATTGTTTGATGTTTGAAATTAATTTATGGTGATGGCAGTATGGGTTACTTGATGAGACAACTGACTTAAGGTACCCTCAGTATATGGGAGCAAGAATCCTCAATGAATTCATCAAGACTGATGCATATAGAATGGAAGTTATACAAATGCCTCCTATGGCTGTCACAAGTTCTTCCTGAAGGAGAGAGGGGATAGAGTACAAGAAGAACGAAGGACAAAGAAGGAAGAACGCAGAAATGTAAAACAAAAAAGGATTCACACGAGAAAAACGGTGCGCTATGGTACGGATCAAAGTCTGTCATGACACACATGGATATCATATATTCTAAAATGACCCCCTTTTAATTTGTATTTATTTTACATTTAAATTTAATTCAAAAAGTAGATAAAATAACTAAAAGACCTAAAGACTTCAACATATTTACGGATCCATGCCACTAATATCCAGATTCTACCCATGATCCGACGACCCAGACCCAACTGTTAACCTAATTTTTTTTCTTCTTCTTCTTCCTTTTTTCTTATCCATGGATTCACCTTAAAACAAAATCCAAAATTTACTTCACATGTTCACTAATTTTCTTTTTCTTATACCAAATCGATCAACCCATAATCATATTTAATCAATTAGATCTTGTTTAAAGTCAAATTTCATCATTTTCGTGCGAGATTCATAACAAAGAAAAACGCAGAGTATTACTGATACAACTAGTATAACTCAAACTAGTACAACTAGGATGACTCAGACTAGTACAACTAGTATGATTCAAACTAGTACAACTAGTATAACCCGAACTAGTATAACTAGTACAACCCGATCTAGTATGACTAATTCAACTAAAACAAACATAACTAGTACAAATACATTGAGTATAACGCGTATAACTGGTACAACTAACATGCATATAGCTTGTACAACTTTATAATTAATATGGCGATATTTGGTTTTTATTTCAGCATATGAATAATGCTAGAAAATTGGATGGTATAAAACAAATGAGAAATGTTGATCTAACCTTCTGTGCTTGCATGAGTCAAAATACATGAATAATTTATTTTCAATAATATTTGATTTTGATAATGATTTGCTTACAAATTGTACTATTTATACTAGTTGTACTATTTCCAAAAAAAAAAAAATTGATGTAAGAATCATTATGAGTTCAGAAAATTATGCATATGCATTCATGTTTGGACTACGAAAATAATCCAAGTTGTACAATTGGTTTAGGTACGGTAGCCGTAGTACTAGTTTAATTGTGTCATCATTTGAGCTGTGTTGTTTTAACATTTGATATGTAGTAATCTTCTCGCCTCTATGTTCATTTTCTTATATAGACATGAAAATATGATAAAATATAGATCAATAACACATATACAAGAAAATATAGTGGATAAACAAGTAAACAAGTAAACAAACCTTTAAAATATAAGGTGTATCATGAAAACTGATAGTGTAAGAATTGTTAAAAAAAATGTTTAAAATTTAAAATAGTTAGGAGATACCACTATAAACACACACTAATTTAGTCAGTTGATAGTTTTCTTCGTACGGAAAACTAAATGGAATTTATAAATTTCTATAATAAAGAAGTTGAATCAGTTGTACCACTATTACATGTACGGTATGAAATAAGAAGTTGTGCCAGTATTTTAGTTTTGTACAATCATATACATAGTTGTACCGAGTTTTGAGTTGTACAAGTTTGTACATGGGATATTAAATCTAAAAATAATTAATATATTATATAAATCTATTTCAGATACATTCGGATATCCAAAATATTTTGGTTTATGTCAGGTTCAGTTTCAATTCTTAAGATTCCAAAATTTTGATTATTATTTTATATGTAATATCCATTTGGTTTTTGTCAATTTTAAAAATAACTAAGTTATCTCAGTTGTACTACTAATACAAGTATGGTACATAATAGAAAGTTATACCACGTTTACAAGTAGCCGAATAAATGATACAACTATCATGTTTAAAACGTGATACACAATTTAAATGTAATAATACATATTTGTACTAGTTTTTGAGTAATACACTTGTGTACATAGTTGTACCGGAATTTGAGTTGTACAAGCTTGTACATAGTTGCATTTTGACAAGAAAATTGAAAATTTTAGTTGTACCATATAAGAAATAAATTGAACTTAGTTGTATCACCTCCATATGTTTACCTACTTGGTATCATATATTATATAATCATTAAATTTGTTAAAATGTATTAGGTGAATGATTTTAAAAAGTATAATGAAAAAACAAGTAAACAAACCTTTAAAGTATAAGGTGGAACATAGGAACTTATGTGATAATGTAGTAATTATCAAAACGACTATTTAAAATTAAAATAGTTTAGAGAAATCATTATAAACCCATAGCCATTTGGTCAGTTGATTGGTTTTTCATATGGAAAACCAAATAATTTTTTTTTTTATAATGAAGAAGTTGAACTAATTGTACCAATATTACGTATCTGGTATAAAATACAAGTTGTTCCAGTATTGGACATTAATAATACATAATTGTACTAGTTTTTGAGTAATACACTTGTGTACATAGTTGTACCGGAATTTGAGTTGTACAAGTTTGTACATAGTTGTATTTTGACAAGAAAATTGAAAACTTTAGTTGTACCATATAAGAAATAAATTGAACTTAGTTGTATCACCTCCATATGTTTACCTACTTGGTATCAGATATTATAGAATCATTAAATTTTTTAAAATGTATTAGGTGTATGATTTTCAAAAATATAATGAAAAAAACAAGTAAGCAAACCTTTAAAGTATAAGGTGGAACATAGGAACTTATGTGATAATGTAGTAATTACCAAAATGACTATTTAAAAGTTAAAATAGTTAAAGAAAACATTATAAACCCATAGCCATTTGGTCAGTTGATTAGTTTTTCATATGGAAAACCAAATAATTTTTTTAATTTTTTTATAATGAAGAAGTTGAACTAGTTGGACCAATATTACGTATCTGGTATAAAATACAAGTTGTTCCAGTATTACATGTTTGGTATATAACAAAGATATACTAGCAATACTAGTTGTGTATATGCTTAGTTACAAGTTGTATGAGATTACATATAGTTGTACTTTAACTCTAAAATTGAAATAAGTAAGGATGTACTAATTGTATAATCTTCTATAATCCACACCTACACCAGTTTCTTGATTTAGCTTATAATAACATCATATTAAACTTAATTATATCTCGATTTATATTTAATAAGGTCTATATTTCAAAATTAAAAAGTGTGGGGAGAAATCTCAAGAAAATATGTTAATTAAAAAGTTTGGGTCAAAATGAGGAGAATCGAGAAAACTAAGGACCAAAGACATAAATAATGAAGAGTTGGTCACAAGTAAACCGATTTCTCTCGACACAGGATCGAACGAAGGATTGAAATCGAAGATTAGCGGAATCGGTGGCAAGGGTTTGAGGTCACGACGACGACATATACGATTTGAATAGGAGAATCGGCAGCAGTGTGTTGTGAATTGCCGACTTGACGACCACCATGGATTGGGATTTCACGTCGACTGCAACGGAGAAGAAGCTCACCTAGGGTTGTAGAGCACAACACCAGCTGAGAGTGAAGCATGGACTTACGACTGAAGCTTATCGTTACTGTTGTCGTTGCTATCATCATCACCATCTGGTCAAGATGTCGGAGAAGAAGAATCACGCCAAAGCTTTTTTTCAATTTTGCTTTTCTTTTTTCATTAAGGGTAAATAAGTAAATTAATATATATTGGGTCATACAGATTACTTTAGGTTGTAGTAGAATAACTTACAAGGGTTATGTCCTATATAAGATTAATGTCCCTATGGTACTGAACGATGTCTGTACGGAAGATACTATATAGAAGAGACTACTGAAGCTACTAACATATTCACAAGTAACTTAAAAGTAGGAAAAGATGGATACAGACCTCTCTATGAAGGCACACTTGATCACACTCCTGCTGCCACTAAAGTCTTAAGATCTGATGTTGATTAAGAAAAGAAGCAATTTCAACAATAGGTCGAGGTTCTAAGTTTCATAAAACTTAAGACATCATCACATGGTTCTTCTCATTCGTGTGTGTCCTTAATATGGGTATTTGGTATATGAGTTCATGGAGAATGGGAGCTTAAAACATACTCTTTATCCAAAAAAAATAAAAATTACATTTACGTAAATTACACAAAACAACTGAAAGTTTGCTTATCCTGGCTTTTTATACTCATCTGGAGCGCAAGATTAGAAATTGGCTAATCAGAGCTTTATGGTCATGTCTGCAGCCGATTTTAAGTCTCCATTTTGCAAGCAGAACCAAACGCCTCACCAACGCTGCTTAAGTTTATGAGATCAGCATGTAAATGAGCGTAGGATTCTTTGGAGAAATTTAACTCTCTTTTTCTATATTTTTCTTCTCATTAGATCATCGGCTATACGTCTACTGTTTAATGGTTTTCTTTATTTCTTCTTTTGTCAGCATAACATTTGAATGTGTCAATGCTTCAGATATTGACTTCTAATTATCCTTAATTTATTTATTCAGAATCTCGTAAGAAATTAAAGCGATATGCTCTCCAGGTCTGGTTTATGATAAACAAAAAAAAAGTTGAACCAGGTCAAAGAGTTCACAAAGAAGATCAAACTGGCAAAACTTTTGTGGTTATATTCACTTAGCTTATTGAAAATTCAAACAATACGACAAGAGTGGAACAGTGGAAGGCAAGATTGTAAAAGGAATTAAGTGGTGCTGAATTGAAATATTGTAAAGGTCTTGCAGAAATTGTCATATTTGCTTCTCGATAGTACAATCAATGCGAATGGTTACATATGGGCACTTTTGAGTATCTACTTTGTTATTGTAAACCCATTCTCAATCTGCCCGTTCTAAGGCATATACACACGTAAAAATGTTATCATTATATATATGATCATACAAACCTACTCTGGGAGCATGCAGAAATATGATATTAAGAAAATGCAACTATCAGTGCATGTCTCGACCTCCACGCAAATGATAAAATTAATCCAGAGCGAATGCTCCATGTTTGCATTTTAATCCGACTCAATCTTGCAAAGAATATGACCACATTTTAGTGAATATTTTCTGAATTCTAATAATATTAGTAGAATTACTTTAAATAACTTAATCCTCTGATTTAA